CCCGCTGGCAACAACGAGGTCGGACTCCCGGCTGCCGGCTGGGAACTCGGCGCGACGCCGGCAGGCAGCTCAGCTGCCAGCGACGGCTGAGTCGGCACAGCCTCCGACTGCTTTTCGGCGGCGGCGAAACCTGCAGGCGCTGCGCCCGTTACTTCCACGATCTCTACTTCTGATGGCGCCTCTGCGTCGCCACCTGTCTGTAGTCGCCTCTCTGGAGGGGCCTCGGCCTGGGCCCCCGCGCGCGCTGACTCGGCGGCCCAGGGCCCGGAGCGCGATGCTGAGGCGGCCGGCCCCTGACGGCGTTTCCTGGACAGGGCGAAGATTTACGCCGGAATCTGGAACCTCAGCTGGCCCTCGAGACGCGGGGGAAGATCGCCCATGATCACTTCGAGCCTCGACGTGGACCCCCCGATCTTGCGCGCAGCGACGGGCGCGGCTTCTGCGCCACGCGGAGGCTGAGACATGGGAACAGATAAATAGATGCAAGCAGAATCCTTGCAGTCCTATGGGATGCAATGGAAGAAAAATGCTCTCGAAGCTGAAACCACGATAGAATCGGCGATGACGAGATAGGCAACATCGCGCCCAAGTGTAAGTTGTTCCTGCTGTAGAACAAAAAAATCGTCCAGGTACCTCACCGACCCGCGCAGAAAGAGCCACCGACCTCGAAATCCAACGCGGCCGTCAAAACGCGCCCCTGGAATTTTTGTACCGCGCCACGTGCCCTTGCCGCCCCGTAGGTTTACCATTTACCAGCACGCGTGCTACATTTCTGCCTACGCACGCCCACCAGCGCAGACTCCGGACAAAAATATATTAGAGGCTCCACGGGGGTCCAAGACAGCCCGACACGGGCCCCAAGACAACCCTACATGGGCCCCAAGACAGGCTCGCACGGGCCCCAATACAGCCCTGCATAGGCCACAAGACAGCCCTACAGGGGCCTCAAGACAGCCCTGCATGGGCCCCGAGACAACCGCCCTACACGGGCCCCAAGACAGCCCCACATGGCCACTAGACCCGCTGGACCAGGGCCCACCAGGCGCGCGAGGGTGTTGGGGCATTGGGGCAGTAAGGTAGGGTGTTGGGGTCGTAAGGCTGCGACGGTTAAGGATATTGTGATATTGTGGTTCTGCGGCAGTAAAGCACAAAGACGTGCGGGTCGTAGGTTTTGGGGCACTGAGGGCACCAGGGAACTTGGGCCCCAGAGTCTCGAGGCCTTACGGTCTCAGAATCTCACGCGCCCCAGGGTCTTTGGGTTTCAGGGGGTGGAGGTGTTTATGGTCTGAGATATTATGGTAGTACGCTACTACGGCATTCGGCTCAAAGGGCATGAGGGAGCTAGTGCGCGGCTGCATGGGCGCCTGAGGGCAGGGCCCCAGGGCTCCCCTCGAGCGCGCCCGGGAGCCGCATTGATGAGCGCGCGCGCTACACTTCTGCCGTTGCACGCCCACCGGCGCCGACTCCAAATGAGGTGTTAGGGACTCGAGGTTTCATGGTCTCAGGGCATGCGTGAGGCCTCGGGGCCGTAGGATCTGAAGGCGCTAGGGCCCTAATGGTTCTGGTCTCAGGGACTTGGCATCCTAGTGCGTTGAAGACTTCGGGCCATAGGGCATTGAGATTGGCGTTGAACTCTTTTGGAGAAGGGTCTCAGGGCCTCAGGCTTCCATGGTTCTAGATCACCAGGGCATTTGGGCCGTGGGTTAGCACGGCGTCAAGGCACTCGTGCATTCGGGCGCCAGGGCGACAGCGGACCGCGGTGCATGGGGGGAGGGGGAGGGGGGGGGGGTCCGGCGCTGCAGTCTTCGGGGCCCAGGGCCCCAGTGTCTAGGGGTCGAGGCGCTTTCAAGTCTTGGCGAATTGGAGCCCTAGGGAAATATAGTTCCAAGGTCGCAGGGCCCCATGTCCAGCGGGTCTTCGGGCCCACGGGGCGCTGAGGCATTGGGGTCGCAGGGCCCCGGCAGTTCAGGATCTTATGACATTATGGTCCCGTGGCAGTAATGCGTTAAGGCACGAGGGTCGTAGGTCGCGGGGTCTCAGCGGCCTCAGCCTCAATGCACTTGAACCCTTGGGCCCCAGGCGAATAGGGCCCCAGAGTCTCGCGCGCCCCAGGGCCCATGGGCTTCGAGGGCAGCGGGGTTTTCTGGTCCGGGGTATTAGTGTGGAAACTATTGAGGCATTGAGGCAGCAGGGCACGAGGGCGCCCATGCATGGCGGCGCCATTGTCTTAAGGGCATGGCCCGCGGGACCCCCTCGAGCGCGACCGAGAGCCCCGCGCGCGCGTGCCGAACGCCTCGTTGGCGTCAGGCGCCCAATCCCGTCGGGGTGCCTGCCGAGGGCGAAGGCGCGGCGCGCGCTCGGGCCCCCCGTCGAGGCGAGCCGACGGGGGCCGCGGTTGCCGCTGACATCGGCCGACAAGATGTCCGAAGAAGCGCGGGGCCTCTCCCCGCTGGGTCGATCGGCGCCAGCCGCCGCGGCCCACGGGGCGCGCGCGCGGGCGCCCTCGCGCGAGCGGGCCCGCGCGCGCACTCGCGCGGCGGTCCCCGGGCCGCGTCGGAGAGGAAAGCGACGCATCCGCGCCCCGCGAGGACTTACTCGACGCGAAAACCCCCGCATGTGCACCTCGTGATGACGGCATGCTTCGGTCGAAGACATTGTCCGTTTCAGTCCTCACAGAGTGCGGGCCTCTGCAGGCCCCCTTCCCAGCCGAAGCGAACGCGTGAGCAGGCGCCCTTGCAGGCCCCCTTTCCCGCGGCTGGAGCGGGGGCCCTTGCGGGCCCCCTTTCCAGCCGAAGCGAACGCGGGAGAGGGGGCCCTTGCACGTTCCCTACCCCGCGGCCGGAGCGGAAGCCGTTGCAGATTCCCCCCCCGGCCGATGCGAACGCGGGAGAGGGCGCGTTCGCGCGTTCCCACGCCCGCGGCTGGAGCGGAAGCCTTTGCGGGTTCCCTCTCCGGCCGAACGAAGAGAGATGCGCCCCCGACCATCGTCCTCGCGGACTATCGCGGCCACCCTTGCCCCGCCCCTCCCCTGAACTTCAAGAGGCCCCAAGATGCCCACGGGAAGCCGCTCGCCCGCGAGCCGCGCGCGCAGGCGCCATGGCCCGCGCGCCGGCAGATCGGAACCCCTGCGCAACGAAAGCGCTAACAACAAATGGCCACATGCCATCTGCACATCATCCACAGTGCCGCGCGTGGTGCCTCGAAAAATACAAGTGCAATGATGGCCTGACATAAGTTGCACGGCCTCTTCGGATTACGCAATCCCCCCCCGGAGGGCGAGGGAGGGAGGGGGAGGGAGGAGAAGAGGAAAGAGGAAGTAAGAAGGAGCGATAAGGGGGGAGGGGGGAGAGGGGCGAGGACCCGGAGGAGGAGGAGGGAGAAGAGGGAGATGGAAGGAGGGAGGGAGGAGGGAAGACGGAGGAGGGAAGGGGGAAGCGAGGGGGATGAGGAGGGCCTACGCCTCCTCCTCTCCCTCCCCCTCCATCTCCCCCATCCTCCGATCTCCCCCCTCCTCCTCCTCCCTCCTCCTCCTCCTCCTCCTCCTCCTCCTCCTCTCCTCCTCCTCCTCCTCCTCCTCCTTCCTCCTCTCCTCCTCCTCCTCCTCCTCCTCCTCCTCCTCCTCCTCCTCCTCCTCCTCCCCTCCCCCTCCTCCTTCTCCTCCTCCTCCTCCTCCTCCTCCTCCTCCTCCTCCTCGTCCTCCTCCTCCTCCTCCTCCTCCTCCTCCTCCTCCTCCTCCTCCTCCTCCTCCTCCTCCTCCTCCGCTCCTCCTCAGCCCACTCCGTTCGCCCCCCTCCAAACTCCGATGGCATCCGACGGAGGCGTCCGCGAGTATCCGGACGCGAAACGATGCGCCAGATGGGAGAGACGCACGCGAACGCCGCCACTGGGGCCTTCAGATGAGCTCCCGATGGGGCCACGAAAAGCCGCGCTGGGCGGAGGAGACGCACGCGGACGCCGCCGCCGCCACTGGGGCCTTAGGTGGGCACCCAAACAAGCAAACCGCCTGAGACATCCCCACAATCCATGCGCGAATCCCAGAATGCCCCGACCCCTGCCGCTCCCCCTTGGGAGTGCTGATACCAGCGCCTCGCCTGAGACACCCTGAGAAACGGCTCCGACAGCAAGAGATGTTGGGCACAGAAACAAGCAAACCGTCTGAGACATCCCCACAATCTGGGCGCGAATCCTGAAGCCCCAGCTCCACGGCGCCCCCCCCTTGGGGGTGCTGAAGCCAGCGCTTCGCCTGAGACATCCTGAGAAGCTGCCCCGAAAGCAAGATGTTGGACACCGAAACAAGCAAACCGCCCGAGACATCCCCACAATCCATGCGCGAATCCCGGAATGCCCCGACCCCTGCCGCTCCCCCTTGGGAGTGCTGAAATCAGCGCCTCGCGTGAGACATCCTCAGAAACTGCTCCGAAAGCAAGAGATGTTGGACACCGAAACGGGCAAACCGCCCGAGACATCCCCGCAATCGATGCGCGAATCCTGGAATGTCCCGACCCCTGGCACCCCCCCTCAAGAATGCTGAAACCAGCGCCTCGCCCGACACATCCTCGCAACGTGCGCGCGAGCGAGCGCGGAAGTGGCGTGGCCGACTCTGAATGAAAACAAGCGAATCAGAGTATGAGTGAGTCTTCGTGCAAGTGAGTCTGAGTGCGAGTGAGTCTGGGTGCGAAACACCTTCACAACGTGCGTTTGAGTCTGAGCGCGGAGGTGGCGTGGCCGAGTCTGAGTGAGGAAGAGCGAGGCAGAGTATGAGTGAGTCTTACTATGAGTGGGTCTGCATATGAGCGATCCCGAACTTAGAAACCTGAGCATCAGGAGTCGAAGAGCGAATGCATATGAGTATGAGTGAGTCTGGCGATGGGTGAGTCTACATGTGAGCGAGTCAGGGAACGATGACCTGAAGGTGAGCGGTACGTTCTCGTTCTCCGCGCGGCCAACGAAATAGCAAGAACCCCGTCCTCCGGACATGGTGGGGGGGGGGAAGCCCCGTCTTAAGTCTGGCGCGTCGCACGCGATGCGCTGGCGCGCCGCGGGCGCATGCGCGGTGTCGTTGTTGCTGGCGTCGGCGGCCCATGCAGCTGACGGGGGGCGAGGGCGGGGCGGGGCGCGCGCGTGCGCGTGTGCGTGTGTGTGTGTGTGTGGGGAGATTGAACATTAAACAATCTTTCCTTTCGCGGATATCAAATGGGCGCTCAGTAGCTCCCAAAGGAGTCTTAAACGCGTTTCATAGAAGTTTCACATGGGACCAAATTGGTTCCAAATGGTTTCACATTGGTTTCAACGAGGTTCCGAATAGATGTCGCATCGGCATCGCACAACTTCCAAATAAGTTCCAAGCGGGCCCCTATTCCGTCTCGCAAAGCACTCGCATCATATTCAAATTGACACCCCCACACGCCCGCCCGGATTCGCAACATCGATTTCAAATCGCCCCTCGCCCTCGACTGGCTTTTCAAACTAAGTTTCAAATAGGCCCGCGCCCTCGCCTGATTTCCCAAATTGGCTTCAGATAGCCCCCCCCCCCCCCCCCGCCCCGCTTAACCAAACATGTTCTACGTGGGCGGCTGCAGGTCAGCGCTGTAAACTTTAGCTTTGATTTAATTATTCCTGCTTCAATTTAGCTTCTATGTAAAAACGGCGGCTTCAATGTTGCTTCTATGTTGCTCGCATCTTCTGTGAGATTCGGAAGGGGTCGCCCTCGCGCCCCCCCCCCCCCCCCCCGCGCCCCCGCGCCGCCCCGCCCCCCCGCCCCGCCCCGCCCACGTCCTCCGATGTCTAGGTTGCTTCTTAGTTCGCCCCCGCCCATCTCTTTCGCTTCAAAGTTTGCCCCCGCGCTGCGCGCCCGCACCCCCCTCCCCCCCCCCCTCCCCTTCCCCGACCCACCGCCCGCCCTTGCAAGTTTGCCAAATTTGCATCGGCGCCCCCCCCCCCCCCCCCGACGCCCCGCCCGAGCGCGCGCGGCGCTCAGCGCTGGGCCGCCGCGGCGCCGCCGCCGCCGCGGACCCGCCGGGGCGGCGGGCTCGCGCGAGGCGCCGCAGTGCGAGAGCGAGCGGTTGGGCAGCTAGGGCGCCGCCCCGCGACGCGCGAGCGCGACGCGCGGAAGCGGGCCAGGTAGTCGCGCGCGCCCGAGGTGGGCGCGAAGGGAACGGCGCGCGCATCGCGCATATCGCGGCGGGCTCGGCCGTCGCAGCGACGCCGCGGAAACACCGCAAGGCCCCCCTCTGGCGCGGAAGAGGTCGGGCGACGCCAGCGCCCGCGAGGCGGCGACGGGCGCGCGCGACGTCGAATCCGATGGGGCCGCGCGCTGGCGGCGGAGGGGGGGCGCGCGCGTGGCCAGGTGCGCGAGCGCAGACGGCGCGCGGCGCGCGCATGCGACGCGCGCTCGGCATTGTCGCGACGGGGCCATGGCACTCTGTCACCAAATGTGGGCGGCGCCCGAGAGGCCCCCGCCGCGCGTGGCAACGGTCGGAGACTTCTGCGCTACATGGGGCCGACAGCGTCTGATATGCCTTCTCACCGCAGCGGAATCCCCAGACAGCTCGCCGCCCGGGCTCCACGGACAGCCCCGCATGCGAAGACAAATCGTTCATAGCCGCGCCGCTCGCATAGGTTGCGCCCTCGGCCGCCGATGCCACTACGACCTCCCGTTGAGTGCGCCAGAAATTGCGCCCTCGGCCACGGATAATCAAACGTCCGCCGATGCGTTGCGCCATGGGCTGCGCCCTCGGCCGCCGAGATTACAGCGCCCCCTCTGGTTGCGCCGCAGGGCGCGCCCTCGGCGCAGAGAGGATAACACCCTCAATTATGGTGCGCCATAGGTGGCGCCATCGGCCATCGAGAAGGAAAGGCCCTCCCATTGGTTGCGCCATAGGTTGCGCCCTCGGCCGCTGAGAACAATAAGGCCCCCCATCGATTGCGCCATAGGGAGCGCCTCCGGCAGCCGAGAATGAAACGCCCGCCGTTTGGTGGCGACATACATTGCGCTCTCGGCCGCCGAGAATCAAACGCCCTTCTAAAAGGGCGCGACCAAGAAGTGCGGTGCAATCACTTCAACCAATTGCCTCGCGAGAAACAAACGCTGGCCACGCCCGAAAACAATCCGAAACCGCTTTGCCACCAGGTGCCAATATCAGGAGACATCAAACTTGTTATGGCACAGGTTGTCTGCGTCTCCATCATGGGCTGGAAACACCGCAGACTGTCCGCCCCTGGTGACCAAACAAATCAAACGGTTTCCGATGCCGAAGCCAGGTTGCACGCGCACGTCCGATCGTTTCTGTTTCTAGATGAACAGGGTATCAGCGGACCCATTACGGGTTCAGCTTTGCGCCACCTGCCTCAGTTAGTGACAACAACGGACCCATTATGGGTTCATACGAGCGCCGTCTGCCCGAAAACTGGCAACACCGCGGGACCCATTAGGGGTTCAGTTTAGCGGCTTAGCGCCGGTTGCCAGAAGGACAGCAACTGACCCATTAAGGGGTCCAGGGTCCTGCCGTCGGCCAGAAGGACAATGCGAGGCCCGCTATGGAATTCACATTAGCGCCGTCTGCCAGAAGGAGGGCGACGGACCCACTATGGACAGAATGTGGATACTGGTCGCGCACCCAGCAAGCACGCATCCCTATACAGCTAGTACCACTACATAGTTCACACTACATGTATACAAATTGTGGAACTTCAAAAGATCTGGTCACCCCTTTCTGATCAATCTGTTTAGAGCAGGTGTTCAATGCCATCTCCGTTATTCATGAATGCCGGCACCGTTCCGATATATTTGCACGATTACACATGCATAGTATCGTAGCGATTACCCTTTGCAAGGCACAACATCCATGCTCAACTTAAGATTTACAACGACAGTTATCGCTTACGTAAGTGCAATACGTTGTATGGTACCCGATATTCGCTCATCCCGCCACCGCGCCTGGGCTCGATCGACGCCAGGAGCACGCGGGTGCAGGCTGGGATATTTGGGGCCGTCGGGTGGGATATTCGGGGCCGTCTTTTCTGAACCTCTTGGAACTTTGGATGCCTCCTGGGGCGGGTTTGGGGCTCGTCGGTGTCTTGTAGAGGCCACCTGGAAACCCGCTTGGCTCGTCGGGGGGTCATGGGGCCTTTGGGGCCTCTTCGGGGCCTCGCATGGCCGCTTGCTGATGTTGGGTGACAGATTGGGACCTCTTTTGTGGCTCCAGTTGGGGTCTTCTTGGGCGCTTCGCAGGGGCTCCTTTTTGCTTGTAGGTTGTCTGGCTGCGTCGGGCTCCTCAATTTTTCTCTTGCGGCGGAGGGCTCGGCCAGCAGGGCGAGTAGACGAATGGCAGAGCACGGCCAGGAGCAGAGGGGGGACGTGAACCAAACCCATCGCCCTAGTTCTCTTGGTCATGGTCAATCGCCCTAGTAGAGCGCGCCAATGACCAATGACCAGAGGCCGTGGATGCAATCGGCCCTGCGCTCGGCCCTCGGAGCACTTCGACATAACCTGACGACCTAGCGGCCTGCGCCTGCATCCGCGCCCGCCGCCGCAGGCCTGCGCAAGACCAGAGGCGGCGCTGTGTGCGGCAGCTTCGGGGCACGCAGCGCTGTCGGGAGGTGCTGAACCCGCGACAATCATCCGATTCTGCTGCAGACCCATTGCGACGCCAAAGGCCCCCGGGAGCCCGCGCGTACATCTTCATCCTCCTTCTGGGCACCACGCCGAGGTTACGCTGCCCCCAGAACGTGCGAACGAGCGCGATGTCCGTCCAGCGTGGCACGGCACGCGGCCGCGCCGCCTTGGGCGGCACTGCACAAATAAGGGCTACACCTAACTGGACTCCGAACGACCAGGACTAGCCAAGAGTTTCGGTCAAAAACGGCGACGGCTGAGGATGAACGAAACAGAGGTACACGCCGGGTGCATCCATCGCGTCGCACGTCGCGCTCTCCCCCCAAGGCCCCCCTCATAAGTCCACGCATCCACTGACCTGTCGCGGGCGGGCGCGCGACCTCGAATCGCGGGCGGCCCACGACTGGGATTGGCAATCATCGGGGGGCCCCACGTTGCAGGAATCATTCACCATCCATCCGTGTAAGCACAGCATTTTCTCTGCGATTGGCATTGGCATGTGAGAACGTCCGAAGCGAAAGCCCGCTTTCGCGATGGGAACCGCAAGCCATCCGCGCGCGCGATGCACAAGTCCCAACTTATGGCACGAACGTAAGAATGCCACACCGAGAGCCCCATTGTGAGAGGAGGGGGCGGGGGGGGCAACAGCGCAAGTTCGCGCCCGCGCTTGGAAGACGGCGGATTTACGAGGACGGTTCAGGAGAAAGGGTGCGGGTGGAGAACGCAGGGAGGATCGCGAAGGAATTTCATGCGTATCAGGGCTGCTCCAAGGGCCCCGGCCCCCCGCCATCGCGAAAGGGCCTCTCGCAGGCCAGGGGGGCCTGGACTGCTGGATCAGGATCTCCCATCAAAGTCCCCCAAGCATCAAAGCGGTCGACGCGAGAGAAATACGCTCTTCCACAATGCGCGCCTTTAGTTTCCTGGCGGTGGCCCTGAGAGAGCCACGCCGAGAAGGATCGCAAGGGTCGGCCCTGTGCAGGGCGGCCGCCAGGATACGCCATTCTCTCGCGGCTGCATCTAACATGCCCACTACCTTCGCACGTTGCAACAAGGCGATTGCCTTTTCGATGCCATGTCATCTTGCCACCAGGGACATTTACAACCACATCTGCTGGCTCATGAGCGCCACTACCTCCGCCGCCAACTCCTGCTAATACTACTCCACCTGGCACTCCATCCCCCCCCCCCGCCTCCGCCCGGCCCCTCAATGGGTCCGCCTGCCCCTCCACCGCGCCCTGGGCCGCCAAGACCTTCGGGGGTATTCGCGACAGGCGCGGGCGTGGGGTCGGGGCCGCCGTCGCTAAAGGATAACTCTACGCTGAGACCGCCACCTGCAGAACCTCCATGACCCGCACCTCCGCACTCCACGCCACTGTCGCTACCACCAGACCAGAAGAAGTCATATGTGTCTGATTCGGGGTGTGTGCTCGAAACTGGCGCGCGCTGGCTGCCGCCGTGTCCGCCGCCTCCGTG